AGGAGGGATGGTGACTGGGAAGCCCCTTCCTCTGGACCAGGAGCAGTGGGACGGCGGCTCAGAAGCCCCTACCTCTGGGCCAGGAGCAGCGGGACTCAGTACCTTGGTCTGGTGGTCTGGTGTCCTCTGCGTCTTTGTAGTGTGGAACCAGGTGCCTGCATGTCTGCAGCAGGGTGATTTGGCGTGTTCTGTGCGACTGGGGACCTTGGTAGGGCGTGGGCAGACCTGCCTGTCTGCAGCGGGGTGATTTGGCGTGTTCCGCGCCAAGACTTAGCTCCTACAGCTCCTCTGAGGCCCTGGTGGCAGCGGGTGTGGCGGGGCCTCAGTTGGTTGCAGTTGGTCCTGCGTGGCTTGTGGTTCCTTCTGAAATTTTTTTAAAAGCATTTAAAAACAAACCTAGAATCTTTTGGTTTTTAGCCTAGTGTTTTTCTTTCTTTCTAAAAAATTTAATTGTGTTACCTTTCTCTCTTCATCTCTAGTTTCCTGGAAATCTACAATGAACAAGTACGGGATCTGTTGAAGCAGTCTGATAAAAAAAAGTCCTATACCCTGCGGGTCAGGGAGCATCCAGAGATGGGGCCCTATGTACAAGGTGAGCTGCTGTGTGCTGGAAGTCTGAGACCAAAGTGTGGGGCCTGGAAAGCTCTGCTCATGTTCCCTAATGGATTCCACACATGTGTAATGCATACTCACCGTGTGCCAGCCACCGTACTGAACACTGGAAAGAAAAGATATGGTTCTGGAAAAAAAAAAAAAAGATATGGTTCTGCCCTCACAGGCAAAGTTCAACTCAGAAGACAGGTTCTTAATTGGAAGTTGCGATGAAACTTAATAAAAATATAAGTAGATAGAGTGATGGAAAGGAACCTTGGAAAGTATAGGCACTCTGCCTGCATGGTGGTAAGGAAAGCTTCTCTGAGGAGGTGGTGTTGAGAGCCAATGTCCATGAGGGAACCAGTCCTGTGCAGAGCAGTGCAGTGGGGGGACAGGGAGGCCAATGTGGCCCAAGTGTGGGGAGTGTGGCAAGGTGTCCTGGGGCAGGTTGGGTCTACAGGTGCCACGTCTGGCAGGCCTGGCCTGGTTCCCAGGCCAACCAGTCTCCTTTCTGGAGTAGTTTCTCTTCCACATGTGGCCATGGTCAGGAGGGTGGGAGAGATGGGGAAATGGGGCTGTGGGCAGGCTCGGTGTGCTTCTTCAGCAAGTGGTGATGTTTGGTTCCATCTGTCTTACTTTATTAAGTTAGGTCCTGCTATTATTATATTTCCCTGAAAATAAAATTGGGTCTTATATTAATTTTCCCTCCAAAAGATGCAGTAGGGCTTATTTTCAGGGGATGCCTTATTTTTCATGTATATAACAACCTACATTTATACATTTATGCATGTACAAAAATATGTTTATTCAAATATAGGCATAGCATCTTCTTCTGGAACATCGTTGTAACTCCCCAAACCTGAATTCCAGCCTGAATTTCTTGTGATTCTATTTCCTGTAGACCCATTGGCCCCACTCTCTCATGTCCAGCAATAGAGCCCTCCGTAAATGAGCACTTCCTGTCCATGTAGCCTGCTCCTAGTGCAGTGACAACACAGCTGTCAGTGATTTTATCCCATGACACCTGCATCCGAGTCACAACTTCCTGCAGGCTGGGCTTCACAGAGTTTCCATGCAATCAAGTGTTAATTGAAGTGTTAAATGTTATGAGACAGGAGTGACAACAAAAATGATGACAATTAAGAATGATGGTCCCCACGAAAGTGATGAAAAATTGCAGGCACCAAAATTCCGAAAATGCTTATTTCACACGAGTGCATCTATGTACATCCATTACAATACATGACGTACTGAATTGTGAAGATTCATATTGGACACAGCCATGTCCATTTGTTATCAAGTGTGCATGTTGTTTGTTTGTTGTGTCTGTATTCCACTTGGTCACTTGGCAATAAGTCTCCATTTCAAGGGCCAGGGATTTAGCTCAGTGGTTCTACCGCCTGCCTCGAAAGTGCAAGGACCCAAGTTTGATCCCCGGTACCAAAAAAACAAAACAAAAGTCTCCAGTTCATCTGTTTACATAGGCATTTACCTCTTGTTTAAAGGTGCCTCCTTGGGACTTTACAAATACTTAATTATAATTTATTTTAATTATAATTATAATGCTTTAATATTATTTATTTTAATTATTAGTGTCAATATTTCTATATTTATTTATATACTATATTAATATTTTATAATTCATTATGCCTGTCATGTTGCAATGGACATACTAAATATTTCTGGCTGATGATCTTAACTGGGGCTTATTTAGGGGGTAGGACTTACATCACAGGCATGCTAGGGTTTATTTTCTGGTTAGGTCTTATTTTCAGGGAAATACAGTAAGTAGGAACAGTTTGGTTCTTTTGTGAAGGAAGTTTTTACCCTTTCATGCCATTTATAAGAAGTAACATATAAATGTTATATTCTTGTTCTCACAGCAGTATGCTAATTTAAATCCTGACAAGGAGAGAGACATGAAAGGTCATGAGGTGGTCTCTTCTGATCAGGCATAGCTGAATAGATGAGCCAGTGGGGTTGCAATCACTGATTTTTCTCTCCGTCTTTTCCCAAGTGTTCTATCATAAATGGTAGCTGGGGGGCTGGGGATTTAGCTCAGTGGTGCTGCGCCTGCCTGTCAAGTGCAAGGTCCTGAGATTGATTTCTGGGACTGGGGGGGAAAATGGTAGCTGGGAAACATCAAAAAATATAATTTTCTTTGCTAGGAGCCAATGTGAATTTCCTTTGTAAAACTGTAGATGGTGCTTTCATGTGAAGTGAGACTTTCAAGGCAGACCACCCAGCTACAACTTTATATATATATGTTTTTTTATTATTGAGGATTGAACCCAGGGGCTTTGCACTGAGCTTCAGTCCCAGCCACCTGCCCCTCCTCCCTCCTTCCTTCCCTCCCTCCTTTCTTCTGTCTCTGTCTCTCTCTCTCACTGTGTCCCTCCCTGCCTCCCTCCCTCCCTTCTTTTCTCTTTCTCTTTCCCCTTTTCTTTTTCTTTTGGTATCGGGGATCAAACTCGGGTCCTTGCGCTTGCGTAGCAGGCGACGAAACCACTGAGCTAAATCCCCGGCCCCTTTTCTTTTCTTTTCTTTTCTTTTTTTCTCTTTTCTTTCCACAGTCTCACTGTGTAGTTCAAACTGGCCTTGAATGCATTGTGTAGCCTGGGCTGACCTCAGACTTGTGGCAGTTCTTCTCCCTGGGCCTCCTCAGTGCTGGAATTACAGGTGTATGCCACCACGCCAAGCTCTCAGCCCCTTTTAATTAAATTTTTAGATGATCTGAGTTCCTAAGTTTCCTAGCTGGGCTCAAATTTATAATCCTTTTGCCTCAGCCTCACAGAATGCTGGGATTACAGGTGCATGCCACCATACCTGGCTCAACTTCTCATTTTAGAGACCTCAGACATAGTCCAAATGTCCTCACTGTACAGAAGACAAAGTTAAATCTGGGGGAGGTTAAGGGCATTCTCAAAGTCACACCACTGTTGGAACAGGACTGTCACTGAGAAGCTTGCCCAGGACTGGAAAGTAGGGATATATAAATTGAGAACTTGGGGCTGGGGATTTAGCTCAGTGGTTCCGGCGCCTGCCTCGAAAGCGGAAGGACCTGAGTTTGATCCCCGGTATCAAAATTAAAAAAAAAAAGTTTAGGACCTGGCTGGAAACCTAGGATATAGGTTCTTCAGTCAGCATAGCACCTGCAGCCCAGAAGATGTCTGCACAAGGTGAGTCAAATACCTGAAATCAGTGATGGGCTCAGGACAGTGAAAGCTTCACGGCTTACGGTGTGGAGCTCAAAGCTCTTTGACACCTCCACAGTCCCTTGGCGGGAGGCTGTGGGGCAGGAAGTAAGTTCTCAAGTAGCAAAAAGTCTTGAGTCCTTTGGGTTACAGATTTCTTAAGAGCAATCTGGAGTTTACCACATCACAGGAAATACAGATGCACATTTCTTAGTGAACTAGCCGTGAGTTCAAAGGTACAGAGTCTGCCTTGGAAACTAGGTCCCTAAGTAGTCACACCGAAGTGTGATTCCTGTTACTGCCCTCTGGGGACATGGTAGCAAACTTTTTACTTTTTAAAGTATTTTTTCTCTTTATTCATATTCATATTCATATTCATATCTAGCTGTCTTTCAGACTCATGGATTTTGTGACTGTGACTCCAAATTGGAAAGTCGCTTTGGTTTGAAACCAGTTCTTCAGGAGTTTATTGAGTTGCCTACTTGATACCTGAACTATTCAGAGCACCATGAGAAATACAAAATTACAAGAGCTTTAATGTATTGTACCCAGGAGAAATCTTTACCATTTTGTCATAAGTGTGAAATTTGCAGCTGAGGGTGGTGGCGCATGCCTGTAATCCCAGCACCCAGGAGGGTAAGGCAAGAGGATCACTCACTGCCAGTTCGAGGCCAGCCTGGGCTACATAGTGAGACCCTATTTTAACCTTTAAAAAAGTTGCAGTATTTTTTTCATTTGTTTGTTTTTTGTTTTTGTAGTGCTGGGGATTAAACCTAGGATCTTGTCCATGCTAGGTAGGCAAATAGCAGTCATTTTACATGAATACTCTGTCACATGCTTCTCAAACTGTAGTGAAGGATGTGCCCTTTCATTACTGTTGTCATCGTCGTTAGCAGCAGCAGCATTGGAGATCAAACCCATGGACTTGTGCACGCTAGGCAAGCACTGTACCACTGAGCCACCTCAGCCCACAGCAGACTTTTTCTTTTTTCTTTTTTTAAATTCCAGTCCTCAGTGTATACCAGTACTTTATGAGTTACTAAAAAAAGAAAACAAAAAAACAAAACTTAATTTCAAGCCTAAATTTGTCTTTACTAGATTGACAGATAAAATTACTTTATTAAAATTGATTTTACTGTTAAAAAATTTGATTAGAAGTTAGAGGACCAGCTTCAACTAGCACTGCCTTAGCTGGATAAAAACATCCACTCTTGTTTTTAGTTTTCTAAGAGCTTTTATTTTTTTAATTTTGAAAGAAATTAAACTTAGGGCCAGGGATTTAGCTCAGTGGTTCTGCTGCCTGCCTTGCAAGCTCAAGGACCAGAGTTCGATCCCTGGTACCAAAAAAAAAAAAAGAAATTAGAGCTGGGGATTTAGCTCAGTGGTTTCACTGCCTGCTGCGCAAGCACAAGGACCCAACTTCGATCCTCCTTACCAGAAAAAAAAGAAAGAAAGAAATTAAACTTAAAGTTGCAAGTGCAAAAAGAACTCTTTTCCTGAACCATTTGAGAGTAAATTTCTGACCTGATACTGTTTCCCTGACTACCTTAAGTTGTTTTTCCTGCAAACAGTAATAGGCTCCTACATAATCATAACACAGCCAACTGTAGCGAGACCTAGCCTCAAAAAAAAAAATCTCTCTCAGACCTTATTATAATTAATTTAGCTTCGTTTTGGTTAATGTTTTTATCTCTATTTTATTTATTTATTTGTTTGTTTGTTTGTTTATTTATTTGAGGCAGGGTCTCAGTATATAGTTTAGGCTGGCCTGGAATTCACTATGTAGATCCGGCTGGCTGATCCTCCTTCCACAGCCTCCCGAGTGCCGACATTACAGGCATGTGCCCCATGCCTGGCACTATTTTTACACGTTGAAAAAAACTTTCAACCTTTCTGGAGGCCGGGCATGGAGGCACAGGCCTGTTGTCCCAGTACTCGGGAGGCAGAGGCAGGAAGACTGCTTTGAGTTTGAGGCCACCTGGGCTACATAGTTCCAGGCCAGCCTGAACTACATAGTGAGACACTGTCTCAAAAAAAACCCCAAAAACCTTTCAACCTTTCTGTATCTTTGTTTTGAATTTGTATGTTACAAAAACGTTTGATTTAGCTCAGTGGCACTGCGCCTGCCTTGCAATCGCAAGGTTCTGAGCTTGATTCCCAGTACCAAAAAAACCCCCAAAACCAAACCAAACCAAACCAAAACAAAAAAGAACTTAAAAAAAAAAGTTTGCCCTTTGCTTTTCTTAAATGTCACAGCTTTGGTCTTTGAATTTGAGCCTGTGTTCTGTTTCTGTTTAATGTAATTACTAATTTTATTTGAGTTTAAATCTATGACTTTGTGTTTTCTCTTTATCTTGTTGCTTTTTTTTTTTTTTTTAGTACCAGGGATCAAACTCGGGACCTTGCACTTTCGAGGCAGGTGGTGAAACCACTGAGCTAAACCCCCAGCCCATCTTGTTACATTTTCTTACTCTTTCAGGTTTATTATTTTAAAATTATTCCATGTTTCTACTCTGTTAGCTTGTTGTTTTCACATTATCTCATTATTTTGGTGGTCACACTAGAGATTATAACATGGAGCATTGAATATCAAACTCTTATCTCTGGATTTCCATCCTTCCCTAGTGTATGGTGTGGAAATACTTGACTAGTTTTCCCTCTGTGCCTTCAAGCAGATGTGTTCTATATTTTGTACAGCTTTTTCTATTTGTCTTTAGTGGTCTGTATATGTAATTTGCTATTACCAAAAGCAGAGTGTTTCTGTACTTGAATTTTAAAACTTTTATTATGGACAATTTTGAACATACGCAGAATTAGACATACTAGCATAATGATCTTCATGTGCCTATCACAGTAACCATCAAGTCTTGGTTGATCCTGCTTTATCTGTGTTCACATTTATTCTTCCTCATCCTGTATTGTTTTGAAGCTAATTCCAGATGTTACACAAATTTATCTATAAGTATTTTAGTATGTGGCCATAAAAAGAAAAAAAATAACCACAAATTATCACATCTAAGTAATGACAATAATTCCATAATTGTAGAAAATCCAGTCACTGTTCAGATTACTTTGTTCATTTTTAGTGTAATTGTATTTAGCAGCAGGCCCATCGAGTTACTTTGTTCTGAATCTCTAACACTGTTCAGAGATTCTCTAGAACAATTGCAGAGACTTTTTTTCCCCTTTGAAATAGTCTCGCTGTACAGTTCAGTCTGATTTTAAAGTCAATATATATCCCAGGCTGGCCTCAAACTTGTGGCGATCCTCCTACCTCAGCCTCCCAAGTGCTGGGATCACAGGCATGTGCCACCACACCAAGCCTGCACAGGCCTTTTGTGGCTTGGTTGTTACCAACCATAAAGACTTCCTTCCATGCCCCTAGGTTCCCCTTCACTTGTCTAAAGTGTACCCCTTCTATAGTGACTCAGTTCAAGTCTCCCTTCTTTTCCCATGGAGCATGGCCTTAGCCTTACTCTGCTGTCTGTACTTTATCTTCTATTTCTGTGGCACCTGGCTGTACTGTCTTATATAGATAGTGTAATTTCCTGGAATGTGAACTGTGGGAGGATGGACACATGCATACTGTATACTTTGTGTGGAAAACTCAGTCTGCCACCTTGTGGGCAGAATAGTACCTGCCATCATCTCAGGAATTTTGGAACGGCCAAGTGAGGGCCAATGTTTTCATGTCTGAAAACATTTCTTATTGCCTATAATCAAAAGTACAAGGAATTGTCAGCACAAATTCCAGAACACAATCTCTGTGAGAGCAGAACCTGTGTTCCTAGAGCCTGTCACAGTGCCTGACATTAGGTTTCCAGTAAATATTTGTTGATTTAATTTATTATCTGAATTTAGCCATTTCCTCATTCTTGTTTATCAGATGGTATGAGATATCAGTGTTAAAACTAACCTAAAGGAAAAGGTTAAACTTTACCATAATTTTTATTTGATTTCTTTTCTCCCCCTCACAAATCTTGATAGGTCTATCTCAACATGTAGTTACCAGCTATAAGCAAGTAATCCAACTCTTGGAGGAGGGAATAGCAAACAGGTAATGGGTTTGTTTGTTCCCATTGTTCTTCCAGCCTTATTCTCCTTTCCTGTGTTCTGTCGCCAAGAGGCCCTCAGAACAGCAGTAACCCAGGTTGAGGGGTGCTCCCTGAGGGCCAGTGCTCTTCTCACTAAAACAAAGTGGGCTTTGTTCTTGATAGAATTATAATAGGCAGTAAGTCCAGAGAGGCGCTATACTCTGCTGTAAAACACACAGCTTTTGCTACTTTGATCAAAGAATGGATTCTTGCCTACATTATCCTCTCCTTGGGTTTGATAAAGATGAATACAGAATATCAGAAAATAATTTTTCTTCTGCTTTTGGATGCTTATAAGGTGACCAACCCAAAAGTGTTTTGAATCCACTATGAATAACTAAGTGCTGTGGACTTTTCTAAAAATTATTGTAAAATTGTGATAACATTGTATGTTTTTAGTTATTATGAAACACCCAGATTGTTAATTAATGCCTAGGGGAAACTTTTTATTTCCTAGAGGACAAAAAAGTATTTAGTCTCCTGCTTACACTATTAATAACAAGGTCTTTATTTTAACTGAAAATGAAGGGAAATTTTAAAATTTAACATTCCCCTGGGCTTTCATGGAACTGTCCTGGAGGAGCTTGTGTCTGGTCTTCAGGATGCCCTAAACTCTCTGTTCTTAACCGTCAGACTTACGTTCCTCTTTTATCTTTGGATTAAGAGATCAGGCCCTACATTTTGACTCCTTTCTTCAATTTTCCAGCTCCCACAAGAACAGAAGTCAATGAAATAGTCTGAGATAGTCTTAAACTAAAGTGTGATTGACTTAGATTTAGATAAAGGGAATGCTCCCAGGTTTAAGAGTGAGCCCTGGAGTGGATTTCTAAGGGAGATTGTGATTTCCTTCTGATTTAAACATGACATTGATAGAATTTGAAATCTCACTTCAGAAGCCTTTCTGAGCTGGGTGTGATGGAACATGCCTGTAATCCTAGCACTCTGGAGGCTGAGGAGTCAAGGCCAGCCTGGGCTACATGGTGAGTTCAGGGCCAGCCTGGACTATGTAAGAAGATCCTGTCTCAAAAAAACAAAAGCCTTTCCAGTATTCTGTTTTACAACTTTCTCCCTTCCTTCCTTCCTTCCTTCCTTCCTCCCTTCCTCCCCTCCTCCCTTCCTCCCTTCCTCCCTTCCTCCCTCCCTCCCTCCCTCCCTCCCTCCCTCCCTTCC